GAAGTATGGTCTTGGATAAAACATTATGGCAAAAGCTAATACATGTAGCCGACCCCGCTTAATTGGATAAGGCTTGGTTGTTGTTGTGGTTGTATCTTTTAAACCAAAATAGTGATGATTCTATGTCTATTGTTAACTTTTTTTTCACCTACCAAAAACATATGCCATAGAAATTGTTGAGAGTTTTCTATTCTGAATAACAAGAAAGGCTAATGAAAATTCTGAGTTTAATTAAATTAAACATAATATTAGACCAGCAGTTTAGTTTGTGTTGCTCTTACATTTATGTGTATCTGTTTGTTTACTAAATCAATCTCACACTGCTTCCTTGTAATCTGGTTTGTTTAATGATGAACAGAATACTTTCTGACTGTATCCCAATTAAAGGAAGTAAAAGGATTTCGTACTTGGTGATTGCGACAGTGCTCTCCCTTGTACCATGGTTTATTTTAGGTTTAAGTTCAACTTTGAGGAACTCCACATGGCATCTGATGGTATTCTTGACTGTGCAAAATTTAGGATCAGCCATGGCAGATGTTGTTGTTGATGCAATGGTAGCTGAGGCTGTAAGACATGACAAGTATGTTTGCATCTTCAATCCCTTGTTTCATTTCCTGAGGCGAACTGTTGCATTGCATATCAAATAACATGCATGCATGTAGACATTGTAAATAATGCCAAATGTTGGATCATGTGTAGAAGAGTAACTAAGAAAATATATGCCATCTTTTTCATGTTTGCATTTACAAAACTTTGAAATATGGCTTATATTTAGGGATAACGTTTCCTATTCAAACGGAGCTTATATTTAGGGACAAAAGTAGAATACCAGATTTGTAGATTTTGTGACTTTGTTGATAACCTTTGTAATTTTGCCTTATTTCAGTTAATAGATCCAAATCATTTACAATCTTCTATGATGGATATTTTTCTTTGCATTGTAGCCGATTTCTCAACCTTGTATCTGTGTGTAACATATAATGTGAACCACGCATTCACTTCATGCGATCTTTGCAGAATGGTTTTTTTATTCTGTGATTAATTACACGCATTTTTTGGTCAGGGCCTCATTTGCAGGAGACCTCCAGTCATTATCTTGGTTTTCAATGGCTGTGGGAGGAATATGTGGAAGTTTGTTTGGGGGATTCGCGTTATCAAGTTTACGGATAGATGCTATTTTTCTTCTATTTTCCATACTACCTTGCATACAGTTATTATCATGCTGTTTTGTGAAGGAGAATTCTGTAAATATTGAAGATTTAGTGGAGGATTCTACTGCAAAGGATATGCAAACAAAACGTAGTAGTAGTAATAGTGGGGTCCTAGATGAAGATAGTTCTTTAACTAAAAAGTCCAACAGCAGTACAAGAAAAAGAAAGAAGGGCAAAAAGAACACAAAAAATAAAGCAGTAAACACCAGAAAATCAAAGGTTCTTGATAAAGGAGACTCCTTGGCGACAAAGTCGTTCCATTCCTTGAAAAATGCAATTTATGATTTGTGTCGTGCATTTCGACAACCAATGATTTTGAGGTAGATATTTGAAATTTTTTTGTTTACTTTACTTTTAAGATTACCAATGATTCCTTGTCAAGAGCATATTTTCTATTTGAGAATTTCATTCATCTATCATTATAGTGTATAGTAAATTTGCATCCTGATTCCTAAGGCCTTCTATTTGTTTCTGAAACTGGTCTTTTCACTGCTAAACACATCCTCCTTGATATTTGCTATAGCACTGACACTTCAAATTGACAGTGACTCAAACACATGTGGTTAAATTTAATTACCTTCATTTTTTAAAATTATTATCGGTATCTATGTGTCAGGATTGTGTCTGTATCATTGTTTCATTCTTTTATTCAAACCATATAGATATGAAAGCTTTGTTAGCAAAATTGCAGACAATTAAAAAGGATAATCTCCATCCTCCTTCACATTAATAGCCCTTAAACATATGGAAGAAACCAATTATTTTGACAAACAAATACGTGCTCACATATAAGATAGCTTATACTAGTAATTTCTATCTTCAAAATCATTATTTACAAAGGTTCAACTAATAAAAATAATTTTACTTCATATATCCTATGCGAAGATTTAAGCTTTCTTTTCCTACTCATAAGTATGCATGTTTTTTATGTATGTATGGTCTCACAGTGTAATGCTAATTCATTTTATACATAATGCTAGTAATAAATTAATAATCTTTGTTTTATATTGTGGAGTGCAGACCTATGTCTTGGTTTTTCCTTGCCCACATTACTATTCCCAATCTGTCAACAGTCTTATTCTACTACGAAACCGAGGTTCTAAAGCTTGAAGCATCTTTCTTAGGGACAGCACGTGTTGTTGGGTGGTTAGGACTTATGCTTGGAACATTCATTTATAACCGTCACCTAAAGCACATGACACTACGAAGAATTCTCATGTAAGCAACTACGGATTGTTTTTTTTTTCATTGGTTGATTGTTAGCTTATGTCTATTTAATTTACTGATATGTTTTCATTTTCATTACAGGTACGCTCATGTTGCGTTGGCCTTCTTGAATCTTCTGCAGATTGCTGTTGTGTCTAGAAAAAATATTGCCTTTGGAGTATCAGACAGGGTTATGGTGCTCTTTGGCTCAGCTCTTGTTGATGCAATCAATCAATTCAAGTTTGTCTTTGCTTCTCAATTCAGTTTTTTTTCTGCATACTTATTTTTTTATATTAAGGATGTGCGTTGGTACTTGGTAGGGTCGGTGAAATATAATTACACAGACTAAACCAAAACAATGAGGGTCAAAAGGATTTAAACCAACAATATTTTGTAGGAATTAGAACCGGTAAAGTGTATATTAAAGTGGCTTATATGTTATACATCATTTATTTTATTACTACTGTACTGTACTGGTATGGTGCCCAATGCGTGGTAATAGGCCGCTCGATATGGGGCATGAGGCTGCCCAACGCGTAGTGATAGGCTGCCTAAATTTGGGTGGTAGGCTGCCTGAACTGATTCTGCACTACCCATTTTCTCAATAAACGTGGGTGGTGATGTGTTCAAGCGGTGATTGATTGGAGAGTCAATGGGAAAACCGTCTCCCCCATAATTCAAGGGAGAACGAGTTCCCTCTGCTCCACATCTCTGATGAGGGAATTAGGGTGACCGCTCTCTAGCCTAGGTCGCGCAGGTTCAAGAAGCCTTCTATGTATACCTCATTTCCAGAATGAGAGAGGGGATCCAATCTTTCATGCAAAATTTAGAGACAGAACTTCTCACTACCCTACGTGGACGAACTCTCACTACCCTACGTGGACGAACTCTCACCACACTCAAAAAACCCTAAAACCCTCATACGGCTACACAACTAGGGATTGTCCATCACCGTACTCTTTAGAATGTACAACTATCCTTGGTTCATCTTTACAAAGCACATCACAATAGGTATTAGAAGATTAGAGTGACAGTACATGGGGTATATGAAAATGATTGTACCTGTTTTCCATTTTTTTTGTTGCTTGTGAACCATAATGATTTTATCTAAACCCTTATTTTGTTACATCCTTAGTTCAAATTCATTTTCTAATATTTGTCTCTTAAAAAAAACTGCAGGTTTATGCCTTTCCTGATCTTATCTGGACGACTATGCCCTCCAGGAATTGAAGGGACATTATTTGCTCTTTTCATGTCAATAAACAACTTGGGAACAACAATAGGGTCTTTTGTAGGTGCTGGCTTGGCTTCTATATTGAACATAGATTCAGGATCTTTTGACAATCTTCTATTAGGCATTGTTATTCATGCTTTGTGTAATTTCATTCCAATTGCCTTTTTGTTTCTTATACCAAAGGAAGCAACAGGTTCATCAGGATAGATAATTAGTTTTTGGTGAATACCATTGATATTAGTTATGTATACTTCAGTTAGTTTTTCCTAGATATTTTTATAGTTGACATTTTCCACTTGTAAATTGGAAAATGCTGGAGAAAATGAGATCCATTTCAATTGGTTTATATACATTTTAACTTTGAGAATGACAGTGATTATACAGATTAAATATACACTTTTGCTAATTGATTCAATTTGATATTCAACTGATTCTTTGATCATTCATCAAAAATATAATTTCAAGTTCATTTCTAACCTTCCATCATCAACATAAATAATACCAAATATATACTTATAGAAATATTTTATGAACTAGCTTCAAAGTAGAGTATCATAAAGTGATTTGATTAGAATGTCTATGTCATAAAATTTTCCAAAATCAATCAATAAATACAAATTAATTTTATATTAAATTAGAGAAAATTAAAGATGCTCTATTAATATAAAAAATACTTTTACCTATCATCCAAAGAGTATCTTCTTGTATTTCATTAAATCAGAAAAATATTTTAAAATTAGTTGTAAAAGACAGAATAAATTGATATTTTATTGAATGACAATCTTAATCAGATCAATTATAATTCACATTTAATGATTCATGTACTAATAGTGAAGGAAATTTAACCTCATTTTTAGAAAATTAACAATTATTCAAAATTAAGGTCTATAGAAAAAGTTATTGAAAGATCCATAACAACAAGTCAATAAAATTTAAGGACTTATTTATTATTTCTTTTTAGTATTTGTATAAATAACATTATATAACAAACATTAAACACAAAATTCAGTTATATAATATTTCAGCTAAATGTACGTAATTAAGAATATATATTCATAGCGAAGTGTAGATTATAACAAATCAGAGTGGCGCAGCGGAAGCGTGGTGGGCCCATAACCCACAGGTCCCTGGATCGAAACCAGGCTCTGATAAATCTATTTTTTTTTTCTCTTTCGATTTTTCTGAAAATTCAACGCAATCACTCTCTTCTTCGTTTTTTCTCTCTTTTTCTTAATTAAAGTTCCTCACAAGAAATTTAAAGCTTCTTAACCCTAAAATTGGAATCAGGACCGTGTAATTCCCCAATTTACAAAACCTAAAATTGGAATCAGGGTTTCGCAGAAGGAAAAATGAGAAGAAGACCTGGAATTGGAGGGTTGCAGACAGCTGCTGCTGCAAGGGATCAGTATCGGTTGTTGGGTGAGAATGTAGCAAAGATCAGAACTGATATGATGAAGGAACAGCTTTCCACGTTTCGTTCTCAGCTTGAAGATTTTGCTCGCAAGCATAAGGTTTTTTATTTTTTATTTTTATATATAAACCCTTCCCTTTTATATTGTGATTGATTGATTGATGTTTGTTTTTGTTGTGGGAAGTTAGAAAAAAAAGTAGATTTTTGATTCTGCTGCGGTATTGGAGAAGTTTAATTTTGTTCTCAGAAGTTTATGTTTTGATTGGAAAATGGTAGTTAGTTGTGTTTTTGATGATTTTTGGTGCTTGGGTTTTGATGGTTTCTATTGGAAGTTTGTAGCTTTAAGGGATGTGTTTGGTTTTTGAGAAATTCAAATGTGGTTGGGTTTTAATTTTTGAGGATAATTGCAGAATCAGCGGCTGTAAATATTGTTTGATCTAGTAGTACAATCAGTGTTGTCGAATATCGACCATGGCAGATTGCGGTGGCAGATCTTTTAAGCAGTATTTCGATGGCGGATGGTGGTCTATGGTGGAGAGCCTAAATACTGCCATACCGGCCTCTTTGCGACGTAGTTATGGTGGAAAAACCTGCAATATCAGCGTATATTTATCATTGCGGTGAGCCCAAAAGCCGCCATGTATATCTGCCATAACAGTCATGGCGCCACCATTTGATAACACTAGCTTTAGGCAGATAGCAGTGGCTTAAATTGGCAGATTTTTTGACAACTTCCATGGCCAATTGGTGAAGGCCGCCGGCACCGTGATGTTTTAGGTGGACAGCAGTGGCTTAAAATGGCGTATTTTTTCGACAACAGCCATGGCCAATTGGTGAAGGTTGGTGGTACCATGATGTTTTAGGCAGATAGCAGTGGCTAAAATGGTGGATTTTTCGACAACTGTCATGGCCATGGTGTTTTAGGCTGATAACAGCGGTTAAAATGGTTTAGTTTTGGCCGTCCGTCATCTGCAATCACTAAAACTGTTAATAATGTGATAGTAATTATTACACGAGAGTGGGATGAAGTGATGTATTTTTTATTTTATTTTGCTATAAATGATACTGGTTACTGATTGATGGAGTTACTATACTGTTTGGGAGGTTATTATCAGCTTCTCAATGTCAATAGAGTTCTGTTCAGTGTGGGCTTGAAAAATTTGAAGGCCTTGAAACTTTAGGGGCATGACTGATGAACAACTCACTTTGATCATGTTTTTGTGAATTCATTTTTATAAATCTTTTATGACAATCCTACTTGTAGTTTTTCTTGCAATTAATGATTAAAATAACACTAATTGTTGGTATCACTGGTTCAGAATGACATCCGCAAGAACCCTGCATTCAGATCACAGTTTCATGAGATGTGTGCTAAGGTTGGAGTAGATCCCTTGGCCTCAAATAAGGGATTTTGGGCCGAACTGTTGGGAATTGGTGATTTCTATTATGAACTTGGTTGGTAGTATCTTTTTAAACTCGTTTACTTCCCAACAAATGGTTTTCTTATGCATGTATGAATCATTCATGGGATTAAGTTTTCAGAAATAGATATTGGCCTAACACATTGTCTTGTTATGGTTTCATTCACATTGCATTCTAACTCTATACTTGCAACTGTTAAACACTTCATCTTTTAGTTTAATAAATCATTCATTCATGGTTTAGTTTTTTATTAATTAAATCTGAGCTGTTTAATTTCACTCTTTTCTCAGAATGTTTTATTAACATGAGCTACTTGGCTAGACAGGAGTTCAAATAGTGGATATTTGCTTGGCTAGTAGACCCCTCAACGGTGGATTAATCAACCTGCAGGAACTGTGTAATCTCCTTCGCCAGAGACGAAAAAGTGACAGAGGAGTTGTTTCTGAGGATGATTGCCTGCGCGCTATCAGTAAACTGAAGGTCTTGTGCTTTACCATGGCCTTAAACCTAACTACAACTGTTAGTTTTGATGAACGTGATGTAAATAAATAGTATATGCTTGCATGTACTTTGTAAGAGCATGTGTGTCCTTATTGCATTTCTCTTTTGTTATTACTTTTCTCTATGAGTTTTAAATCTTCGTTTCTCCATTTGCTGAGATATTTGTTTCACGCATTGTAGTTGACCATGTTGTGTTGGATACTGATTGTGTCACAAAAATTTCAGGTTCTAGGTAGCGGGTTTGAAGTTATTTCTGTTGGAAAGAAAAAACTTGTTCGTTCAGTTCCAACTGAGCTGAATAAAGACCATAACGAAATTCTAGAACTTGCCCAGGTATTTATGACTCATTTTATAAATAATACTAATGTATACATGCGGTTACATGACTCTTCCATGTTTAGATAAAAAATTTAATTAAGTGCTTATAGCATAAACCCTTATCATATAAGTGTTTAAGTATAAGCTATTTCTACGACAAAAGGTAAAATAATATCAAACTGTTTTCATGTAAGCTGCAAGTTGTTTTCATAAGCTATAATTGAGAACTTATGGAAATAAGCTAAAAATAGCTTATGGACATGTCATAAGTTGCTGCCATAATATCTTAATAATCTCACAAGCACTTGTCAGTAGATAAGTTTAAATAAGTCAATTCAAACAGACTCTTGAACACTTTGTATATTTCAGGGTCAAGGGTTTGTGACTGTTGATCAAGTAGAAAAGCGGTTATCTTGGACTTCGGGTCGTGCCATTGATGCACTTGATACATTACTTGATGTAAGATAAACTATTTTAATCTTTTCTTCTTTTTCTCCTTATCTGATAACATATAATAGCAACACTAACCTCCAATTGTGTGGATACTTAACCACTGCTGTATTGGCTCATGCAGGACGGACTTGCAATGATTGATGATGGCCACAAAGATGGAAAACGGCGGTACTGGTTTCCGTGTGTATCACCCATTTCATCTTTGACAGGAACTGATTCCTTGTAAATTTATTAGAAAAGTATCTGAGGTCAGATTTTTCAAGAACATTGTTCAATTGTTGTAAGTTTGCTAATTGTTTATTCCTCTTTGATTCTTGACTGTTTTGTTCCAAAATGTGTGAGTATTCTTTTAATCCCATCACTTAAGCTTTATAGCTTTCTGCATAAGAAAAGTCCTTAGCTTTATAAGCATTTATGGAAAAGTTAAATAAGTATTTCTTAACAAAATGAAATACAGAAGCTAATTTGAACTTCTAATGTGAACTTCTACAATAAACTAATTTGAACTTAAAATTGGTGCCAGCAGCAGGTGATTGATTATCAAATCATAAAGAACTCTTGCATACAACACAATTATCTATTTCTTATCTTTAAAATGTATAGGCATAATTAGTCCCATAAGTTATTTATGAGTTGTGATATAGTCCCTCAATAAAAAATTGATTCGATTTGGTCCTGTAATATTACTTTCGTTAACATATTTGAGGAAGTTTTACCCCATACCCCTACACTTATACCTATACCCCTACATTAAAAAATTTTGGACCAAAATATCCTCGTATAAAAATTTATTATTTTTTAATTTTTTTAATATTTTTTTATTTGTTTACCGGAAGACTTTTTGGAAGTCTTCCGGTTCACATTTTTTTAGTATGTTTACCGGAAGACTTTTTAGAAGTCTTCCGGTACATATTTTTTTCGTTTGTTTACCGGAAGACTTTTTGGAAGTCTTCCGGTTCATGTTTTTTTTTTAATTTGTAATTAATATTTAAGATTTATTAATTTTATATAAAGACCAATTTAATAAATTTTTGAATATTATACTTAAAATATAAAAATTCTATAAATAGAGAATCATTTTCAGAATATTTTCTATTTACTATAATTATTAGAATACTAGTATTAAAATCATTTATTTTAAATGATCATAATAGTAGAATTTTCTCAAATATCTTATTAATCTTAAACATTAATAAATAAAATAAATTTAAATATAAGATATAAGTTTACATTATTCAATATATTTAATCAAATGAAAACATATGTGATAAATAAATAATGTATTTTAACTTAAAATGATCACAATAAGTTAACTTGCAAAATAATATAAGTAATAAATTAATAATGTATTTTATTTAAAATAATCACAATAATAAAATACGCAAATAATGTGTTTTATTTATAGGACTGATATAGTTTTATTGATTATTTAATTTTGAATACTACTATGAATATAGTATTTAATCTATACTTTAGAACTCACATAATTATAAATATAAAAAATATTGTTTTATTATCCATATTTTTATTTAATTAAAAAAAATAAGAATATAAATTTATTATTTGTTTTTCATTTTTGTTTGATATTTTTAATTATTTCACTTTATTTAATATTTTTAATAAAATAAATAATATATTTTATTTAAAGTAAGCACAGTATAGAATATGTAAAAAATTTATAAATAAAAAAAAGATCAAACGAAAATGAAAAACAAATAATAAATTTATATTCTTATTTTTTTTAATTAAATAAAAATATGGGTAATAAAACAATATTTTTTATATTTATAATTATGTGAGTTCTAAAGTATAGATTAAATACTATATTCATAGTAGTATTTAAAATTAAATAATCAATAAAACTATATCAGTCCTATAAATAAAACACATTATTTGCGTATTCTATTATTGTGATTATTTTAAATAAAATACATTATTAATTTATTACTTATATTATTTTGCAAGTTAACTTATTGTGATCATTTTAAGTTAAAATACATTATTTATTTATCACATATGTTTTCATTTGATTAAATATATTGAATAAAGTAAACTTATATCCTATATTTAAATTTATTTTATTTATTAATGTTTAAGATTAATAAGATATTTGAGAAAATTTTACTATTATGATCATTTAAAATAAATGATTTTAATCTCATTGTATTCTAATAATTATAGCAAATAGAAAATATTCTGAAAATAATTCTCTATTTATAGAATTTTTATATTTTAAGTATAATATTCAAAAATTCACTAAATTGGTCTTTATATAAAGTTAATAAATCTTAAATATTAATTACAAATTAAAAAAAAATATGAACCGGAAGACTTTTTGAAAGTCTTCCGGTAAACAAACGAAAAAATATGAACCGGAAGACTTCCAAAAAGTCTTCCGGTAAACATACGAAAAAAATTGTGAACCGGAAGAAGTCTTCCGGTAAACAAATAAAAAAATATAAAAAAATTAAAAAATAATAAATTTTTATACAAGGATATTTTGGTCCAAAATTTTTTAATGTAGGGGTATAGGTACAAGTGTAGGGGTATGAGGTAAAACTTCCCCCCATATTTGATCCTTTCTGTTATTTCAGGTGAGGTGTTAGACCGTTAGTAAATGCCAGAGTGACGTGTTAAACCATGTAATGAGTCAGCAAAAATAATAATAAATAATACAAATTTAAAAAATAAAATCAAATAACTTTAAACTAAAAAAAAAACATAAAAATCATTAATTAATTAACTTAAAAAAGTTATATGAACAATAATTAACTCAAAAAAACATAAATGAAATCAAGATTAAATCAAATTAATTAATTTATATAATTAACTTAAGAAAAACATCAAAATCGAATTAATTAATTTACATAATTAACTCAGAAAAAAAGATAAAAATTATTAATTAATTTACAGAAAATTAAATTAAAAAAAAAATGCAAAATCTTCCCTCTCTGCTGAGGTTTGTGCTAGTTTAATGTTCTCTTCTCCAACCATCATGCTTGAGGCTTGTTTGCCTAGTTGGTATATTCTCTCATTATTTGTTGCTGGAAAAATTGTTGGATGTTCTTTATCATAGAAGTCAACCTCTGCTGAGCATCTACGAACTTCTATTTGTCCTTTGAAACAATGTTTTGCAAGCTAATCACAGACGCTGAGGCGGCCAAAACAACGCTGTGGAATTTCTCTGCTAAATCCCCTTTGATCTTTACTTTGAAAGCATCCACATTCGACTAGAAAATCTCATCGTGACACAATCCTAAGGGATACTTTGTCACTAAATACAACCTCTACATTTTCAAAAACATTTTAATTTATCTCACAACAGAAAAAATAAATAAATAAATAAAGCCAATCGGTATGAATATGAAAAAAATAGAATTTAATCTATCTCACAGATAATATGATTTTCAGTTTGGAGAGGAACAGAGTTAGAGTTACAAAAAAAAAATTAGGGCTTTTAAATTTTTAACCACATATTAGGCGACATAATAAAAAAGAAGAAGACTAACCCTTGAAGAAAATCAACACGAATCTTCAACTTCGGCATGGTGGTGGTGTCACAAAACACTATTAAACAACAACAAAAAATGAAAGAGAAGGTGGAATTCATTACAAAGAAGAAAGAATATGAAAATGGAAGAATAAGAAGAGAAAAGAAAGACGGTCGAAGCAAGAAATTACCTTGACAGAATAAAAAGAGTGAAAAAAGAGAAGATCTAAGAAGAAGAAAAAAGAAGAATGCGGCTGCCAGGATTTTGGAGAAGGAATTTAAGAAAGAGAGGAACATAAATTGAAAATAATAATAATAGTAATAATAACAAATAATGTAACTTATGCACATTGTTTCATATGTTTAATAATAAATAATAATAAATTGATAATAAACAAAACAAGATAAGAGAAAATACTGCCAAGTAGACTGCCACGTATGCACAATTTAACATTTTTTATCAAAATTTAACGGAATGGATTAATTTGACTAACAAGAACCCTTTTAAGAAACTATAATATGATATTTTTTAACTGATGGACTAAAGCGAAACAATAAGTTAAACTAAGGAAAAAAAAAAGATGAATTAAGCCTAATGTATATATCTAGTTAGTCAAATTTGTCCTTAAATACTTGTATTAATTCATTCTTGCATAAACTTTTTTTAAGAGTCATGAAATTTATTAAACTTAGGAAGATAAATTATGGCAAGAATATAATTTAAAAACATATATAAGTTGTATATATTCTTTAACTCGGTAGACAAAATATCAATAATTATCATAAGAGTTTAGATCGATAATATAATGTTCATCTTAATAATATCGAAATTTGTAAATTAATGTAAGTCTTACACGATCTCGATCATCCAACATTACAATTTAACGCCAAGTCCAATGCTAAATAATAGAACCAATTTATTTGGCAAACACTTCAAAATATAAAACTTGTAAATAAATTAGTCATACACGGTGTGGATCTTCAAACGTAACAATTTAACTTATCTTAAATAAATCAAATGAGCTATAAGTTTTTATAAAACCTTTTTAGTTTACTTAAATTGAGGTTAAACTACATTATAAAAAAATAGGTAATTTTTTTCTCTGTTCTATGACATAAGACGATCAATAAATTCTTTTCACCTTGTAAAACATAGATTTCCTTGTAGTTTACTATTTCAATGTGGAGTATAGAACTGGTAGTATGTTGATGGAGTCCACATCAGAAAATTTATAGCACAATGGCGAATGTCTTCTATAGGTGGAGAAGGAGGGTGTATATGGAAGGATAGCACTCTAATGCTAAGGTCTGTGAAATCAGAAAGAAAGAACATTGATGTGTGTAAAGAATTGTATTTACATGTGATACGAATCACACATATATATGAACGATAGTTAGAATTGTTTCTGGTAAACGTGACACTTTGTGTGTAGGATCGTTGGATGGATTCTAACAATTGAGATGACTGCGTTGCTTGACTTTAGTGCAGATCTCCTAACGAAAATACATCTGTTTGTGAGAATACACTTGTTAGTCAGAGTGGGTAAAGTTTTGGATCAGGCGTATTAGGTCAATCTTATTGAGATGTTTGGTCGATCTAGAACAATTGTTCCCCCAAGTCCTTACTATCGGATACAAAGCTAGGATTATTACGGTGATCATACCATTCAACTTTATTATCCTCTCCTTGTGGTTAGGGTTTCCATCTTGATGATCACATGACATTTGTCAAAGTTGACCTTAATGCCTCTCTCAATCAAATAGAATCCCAAGACTTTGTCGGCTTTGGCGCTAAAGGTGCATTTCTCCGAGTTGAGCATCATGTTATATTACCAACCGCGATTGAACACAAGGGTGTGGTGAGTGTTGTGCCCGACTATAGTTGAGGTGAGTGCGGTGCCCGACTATAGTATGCGGTCTCCTATTGAGAGTACACCTATTTGTTAGTTTGAGTGACCAGTATTTTGGATTGAAACTTTGTATTTGACCGATCTTATTGGACTCTTTGCCCGATCCGAAACATTTACTTTCTATATTGGAGAGAAGAGAAAAAGGATGGGAGATTTTAATCCCTCTACATTTGTTAGTTTGAGTGACCAGTGTTTGGCTTATTTATTTGATTTCCTAAATCTATTTGCTGAGTAAAAATGGTAGTTTACAAATCAATTGTTTCCCATAAATATGTTTAAAATATTATTCTCAAATATAAATAATTATGTTCTCACTTTACAAAATCAACTGCAACCACTGTTTTTTTTTTTTTTTTACCATAACTCAAAAACAAATGCACAAATACTAGATATCATGAACTATGAGTAATATATAAACAGGACAATCCTATTTTGAAACCAAAATAATTAAAAATGTATTAATTTCAATTGAGTGAAAAGAACATAGGAAAATAACAATCATATTATATGCAACATGGAAAACAGAAGAAAGAAGGGTCATTGTGCTTGGCTTTGAGAAGCAATTTCAATATCCTCCATCCACTCCGAAGCAGGTTCACTCCATGATCTTGGTCTAACTCCAAGTTTAAAATACAATATCATTTCCATAGCTTCAAAAGCCTTAGTTTCATCCAATAACTCGTTCCAAACTCCACTTACTATGCAGTAATTATTGTTATATGGTGGCCGATGATGCGCGCCATGTTGCGACCGTGACACAAGCACACCGCTCTCCTGCAAAGCCACCACAAGCGGCGGAAGCCGGCTCTTTGTCCCGTGAGCCCATGCATGAAATTGTTGGCTAAACATAATGCAACCCGCGCACACTGCAACAAAACTTTGAACTATAGGGTTGTGGAAAACAAGGTCTATAGGAAGCACTATAAAGGTCACCACACGGGCGAGCGCGTGCAAATTGTTAGCAAATTGGCGCTTTGTAATTGTCCAAGGCCACTTGTGATGGCCTTGGAAAGCCTCAATTTGAGATCCAACAAACGGGGTTGACCCATCTCCGTAATTATCAATGGCCCAATGATAAACTCCAGACCCGAGATCGGCTAAGATGTAACCAACCCAACCTGCCAAAATTGGCTCAACCCACATATTCATATCCATTGAACCCTTTATAGACTCTCCCAAAGAAATTAGCAAAGTTGTGCATCCAACCGCCACCCATGCGCGATGAGACCATGTTGATTGCAAACTTGCGTCACTCTCTGTTGGATGGTTAGCGACGGTTACTGCCTTTATTGGCAGCGGCGCAAATCTAGGCTCAACTATCAATTGATCAACATTGGGCTTGGAATTTAGGGTAGCACTAGTTGTACTAGTAGTAGTATTGGTGGAGCAATAGACACGAATCCGGTGGATGAGTTTGCTTTTTGTGCAAGCTTTGTGGTGAAAGCTTGGAAGGTGTTTGAGTTGAGTTAAGGAAGACATTGGAGAAGTTGAAGAGGAATCAAAGGCTTGTATGAAAGAATGCAAGATATATAATTTTTTTAGCTATAATAGTAGTGGTTGTGGGAAGAATGGAGAAATGATAAAATGCACTTTTTTGTGGAATTGGGAAAAGGCATAGTGTGGTGGACAATGAAGATGCGTGGTGTTATGTAATTCTCAAATATTGTTAACATTGAATTTCATTCACAATTTCCTTATGATTCCAATGATATAAAAGTCATAGAGAAAAAAAATTGTTATGGTTTACTTGGACCAATAAAATTGCTATGCTTTTTTGTGGTCCCTCAAAGGATGTTTAGTTTTGATTTATGTGCCTTAGAGTTTACAAGTGAGATATAAGCAATGAATGAAAGTGTGAACATTTTGTGTCCACTTACTAATCTTTTCGTGACATAGATGAATTGAATGCCAACAAACAAATGTAGATAGATGTTAATAGGTAATGTAAGGATGTGTTTCTTCCACAAGATGGCGTATTAAATTAATGATCGTGAAAAAATAAGCATATTCCAACCGCGAAAACGTCTAATAAAAACATATTTAAGACCGTCAAATTAAATTTAAAAAGAGATTAATTGTTATGCATATTAGATATATTTAAGATCGTCAAATTAAATTTAAAAAGAGATTAATTGTTATGTACTGTCACTGTAATATTTTTTTACAATATCAATATATCATAACTATTTGTTGGTATCATTTTTCAAATTATTAAAATAAAAGTCAAATAAATCAACAATTGTGATTAACTTGACAGTGTAAAAAATCTTTACACTATCATGACATATCAATTAAATTCATTTAAAAATGACTTTATGATTTTTTTTTATAATTTAAACTTCTTAAAAAATGCTAAAATAATTTTAATTTGATTAGAAATTAAATAATTCTGAAAAAGTTGGTTTTGTTTATATCTGGTGTTGTTTCTTAATTTAATATAAAGAGTGGAGAACTATTTTAGTTAATGAAAAATTCAACAAAATTTAGTTTAGTTATAAAAAAAAAGTTACTTCTGAAAAAAAAAAACTAATCTTTAAAATTTTAATACTTTTGTTTGGTTGAGGAAAAAGATATGGATAGTAAAATAAAAAGAAAAAAAAATATATATAAAAACGAAAATAAAATTAAAAAAAGTGTATAAAATAACAAACATAGTTTTTAGAAAAAATAAGTTATCGAAAAAAGAAATTAAAAGAAAGTGTTTCAATAAAGTCAACAAATCATAAAGTATATAAAAAGAAAATACCGAAAAAATAAAATAAAATTTATTAACAAAATAATTGAAAAATAATAACTTTAGAAATATCCTTAAATATTTATGTAAAATGAGTGAAATTTTAAAAAGTAACGCACGTGCAAAAAAAAAATAATATATATATATATATATATATATATATATATATATATATATATATATATATATATATATATATATATATATATATATATATATATATATATATATATATATATATATATATATATATATATATATATATATATATATATATATATATATATATATATATATATATATATATATATATATATATATATATATATATATATATATATATATATATATATATATATATATATATATATATTTTGTCGGGCCAAGGGAAGTTTAAAGTGAGTGAGGCTATATTTTTTGACTTTTAAAATAATTTTGAGATGCTAAAGAATGATGCCTTTAAATTAAATTTATATAATTAACAAACATTTCATAATAAAACATACGAAATGTTGTTGCCGAGTGGTAATCAAAGTTATCGATTCTGCTATGTCCAATTACCAATATTTTTAATAATTTCTATTAAGTACAAAACAGTTTGCTATTTTAAAAATATTATATAGTTTTATGAAATCAGTCAAATTCTATAGTTATTCTTAAAGTTTGTTTAAAACAAATTCTATTTTTTTAAATAAATAAATGATAAAAATTATATATATTATATACATAATTATAAGAAAATTAGTTTAAAAGTTAATTTAATTTTAATTAAATATTATTTTAAAATATTATAAATTAGTTTCGTCTTAAACCTTAAAATATGTCGAATCATATATATATGAACGGAGCCACTAATAATAAAGTGTAGGCTGATGCTCCCACTTAATTTTAAAATACTACTAAATATATATAGTTTTCATTTAAATGACTATTTTGAATGTTATTTTATATATGTTGTTTTCTTGGACAACAATTTTAATCTTACTGGATCAAAAAAGAGATCAGCGGTCAGCAATACTTTGTAAGCTCCTCGTTCGCCAGTGGAGAAGAAGAGGAGGGTGTGTATCTGCAAGGTCCTCCGATGTTAAAGTAAATTTCAGATAGATAGATAGATAGATAGATAGATAGATAGAGAGAGAGAGAGAGAGAGAGAGAGAGAGAGAGCAAGTACATAAAGTAGTTAGAATATCTGACCCTCTTATGAAAGAGAGTATTTATAATGTGTCCCCAGTGTTGGGCCAACGGTTATCTGCACTGGGTTGGATCATTAGGTCAAATGCAGATAACTGTCAGGATCTACGTGGCGTAGGGAAGACCAGCACGTGGTTTTCATCCTGGATCAACTGTCCTGTGAATTTCGGAAGGTGGATGACATGTTCTCTCGGACGCGGAAAATTGGCTAATGACGTGTCCCCGCGTGGGGAGCACGTGGAGACCGTGGGGGAGACGCGTGAGAAACGTTCCCGTAGGAGTTGATGGATTGGGCCTTAATTGGGCTCTTTCCGACGAGGAGCTAGGTTGGGTCGTGCCCGACGGTGGGCCAACCTCTAGCCCAATCTAGAACAGGAGCCCCCCCAAGTCGTTCCTCCGAAGCGTAGGAGTGATGACTTAAGAGTCAATTCTTGCGGCGAGGAGGGGCGAAAGGACTTTCTCGGAGGAGCGTTGCTTGTGCTTGAGGCACTGAGCTCGCGGGGCTATCTGACTAGACGCAGAAGTCATTGGTCGTGCTCAACAGTGAACTTCGTCTATGGTCGATGACGGGGTCGATCAGGTGTTTATCTTGAGGATATGTGCTCGTCACACGCATCCATGGCTTGTTTTCATCTTCTCCTAAGAAGGTGTTCCTGGCAGCGCAAGGGTCGGGAATTACGCTCGACATGTTGGATGGTACGACAGAAGTGAAAAGAGTTGACATGTCATTTCCTCGAGCCGTGCAAGGGGGCTTGAAGGGATGCATGTGATGTCATCATGTGCCACATGTCAGAAGTAATCAATGCCTATGACGGCTACAAGTAGGGGTGTTTGAGTGCCTAGCGGACGCTTCGCTTCCCGTGCCAGAGGTTATAAATAGGGGGAGGCTGATTTGTTTGAACGTTCACATCATTCAAGCTCAAGAATTCTTTAAAGCCCTTCAAGGTTTTTCTGCTCCCTTACCTTCTGTTCGCCGCCACCTTCGTCGCTAGCCCCCTTGCTTCGCCACCGTAATCTTCAGGATCTTCTTCGTATAAGTAAGTCATTCGCTCTTTCTCCAAAATTTATGTGTTTTACAGTGTTTTTCTTGAGTCTCGGATGAAGTTTCCGGCAACTTTTCTGGGGAGTCCATGAAGTTCCCAGCGAAGTCATGAAGTTTCCGATGAAGATACCGGGAGTTCACGAGGATTCTAGGAAACTTCATGAAGTTTTCGATGAAGGTCTCGAGGACCCCATGAGGCTTCTAGCGTCTTCGCTAGGTTGACGTTGGGGGGCTCCTTCCCCGCGGGGGCTAGAAAAAGATCTTACGTAGAGGAGATCTGCTTTTCAGGTTAAATGGCTCCAAATCCCGAGGATGACGGCGTGGTCGACCGTTAGAAGTATTTGTCGGGAGTGTTTTATCGTATCCACAGGGATTGATGAGAATATTTAATGCTTGTCGTTCAATGGTTTAATGATTCAAGAAGGGGGGGTTTTAAATTGGTTTCTATTTTGTAACAAGAGTTTGTAAGAAATAAAACAAAGTAAAATTTGGTTTTAATTTGATAAAAAGCATGCCAAGATTAGGGTTCACTAATCCGTCTTAAACGTATCCAACCAATCAAATATGTGAACTTAGTTTTAACCAACATAATCGCGTATCCACGCAAAAACGTTCATCTCTAAAGCGATTTCGTGAATGTTATTGTTTCGACCGTTAAATGATCTCTCTAAATAACACTCGAAACAATAATTATTAAGATCAATACAATATGAATATCAACTTCCAAATCTATGTCTAGAGTTTGTATAGTTGATAGATGAAGAAATTAGGCCAAGACTTGAAAAGTTCATGTCTAAAGCAATCCAAACCATAGATATAACAAAAGATAGCAAATAACTTCATCTATATTGATCAAAGTCTTATTCCCATACAAAAGATTAAGAAGAATACATAAAATCAGAACTAGCTACCTCTAACCTTTACAAAAAGGGGTTTTAGCCATCCATTTTCATGATAACTTGAGCAACAAGTTTCGGAAGAAGGTTGATCAACATCCGAGTCGAATAATCGAGATTGGATGGGAATCCACCTTCTTTTTGTGAAAGATGGCTAAGAGATGATGAAAATGGAGAAACTAGGGTTTTTTGCTGAAAAATCTCAAACTAAGATACAAGAAAAAAGATATTTTGGCAAAAAGTAGCACATACTACTTATAGGCATGCTGTTGAGCTGTCATATTCGCAGTGCGAATAATATGTTCGCCTAGCGAATAATAAAAAATGGCAGTTGAAGTGCCAGTGTACAGTGAACACGCCCCTGAGCTATTTCCACATGTTCGCTGTGCAAGCAATCCTTCGTATTGCGAAGGCTTCGCTAGAAACTTCGCACAACGAATTCTTGTCCAAATACTTACTGCCTCAGGTCTGAGACTATTCGCTCCAAAAAATAATAATACTCTTGACCGGAGAGCCTCTCGAGCATTTGATCCATGAAAGGAAGAGGAAAGTGATCTTTTCTTGTAGCTTGATTGAGCCTACGGTAGTCGATACACATCCTCCACCCCGTTACAGT